CTTCCCGCACGTTCACTAGTACTGGCGTCTTTTTGCGCCACCGTGGCAGCCATCGTCTACCGTTGAATGGCCGCGTTTTCGCCTCCAGAAGTTCTCCGTGTGCATGTGAAGAAGAGCTCAAGGTGTCCGTTCGGTTTCGGCCGAGCTGAGCTCCTAAGCGAGCTGCGTCGATCCTTTCTTTGTCTTCCCGAAGCGGTCACCTTGCTGTGAGGCACGCCGGTGCAAGTGTGACAGGGGCTTACTCGGACACGTATCTCTCCAGGTCCGCAACTTCATTGTGTACACGCTCCTTAACTAGCGCTATTATCTGGTACTTCTTGAAGGTGGCTCGCTATGGCTACCCTGGCGGGTTTGTTCTCCGTGGTGAAACAGGCGATTTCTTGACGCCGATGCTGAAGGAGCCGATTTGCAATAGTCCTTTCGATGCGAACAATAACGGAGTGTTCTACTCCAGTTTACTGGTTCCTTGTGCTAGTCATTGAATGGCTATCGCACCAATGTCCCTCTGTCGAGGAACTGAAGCTATTGTCTTCTTTAGATGTGACTCGCACCGAAGTACGTAAACCTCGTCGTAAGGAGTTGAAGAAAACCTTAGATCGAGCATTCCTTCAAAGCCTAGTTTTACGAGTCTACAGCAATTCGAGCCACCCCCAACCCCCTCTTCTCAGCTCCCTCAGAGGACTATCGATTCTACATCGCACTAGATGACCATTGACGACCTTGCTTGGACCGAAGACTCGTGCATGTACGGGCATTCCTTCAGATACTTTTACTTGTCTCCGACGATGGCTTCTCATGGTCTGGTCCGGCACTTGACTTAGACAGAAGCCCGTTCTTCTGGCTTGCTATTTGCATGTGAACGTTGCTAACGCATTGCGACCTCGCCTCATGGGTTGGTTCGCTGTCCAGCGTAACTTCACCCAGACACAGGTCCAGCAGAACACTGTGCGAGAATGAACAGCGCCAGTATTATATACGAATAAGTATGCCTGGACTTTTGAAAAGTCACTGAACGCTCATCCGGAAAGTGCTGAATACGGAATTACGGAAGGCAAAGATCTATTATCAGTACCCCGTGTGGAAACGACAATGCTCACAAAATCTGCGTGATTTTGGCATAATTGTACTTGTCGCCCTCGATCTGTCTCCGAACTAGCCCACGCTTTGTGACATTTCCGCTGACAACGCCTGCAGTGTCATCTGGTGCGCATTTTTCGCGATTTCTGTCAATCAAGTATTTGTGTCCGCTTGATCCCGATTCTTCCGTACTTGGTATCTGCGATCCGGATTTATTCGATCTAGGAACTATAAGGGAGCCCGCTGTGACGTCCTAAGGGCAGTCATCTTTGCGGCTGCGATCATTAGACCACATACTTGAGCTTGACGCAGATATACGTCCTTTTACTACTCTTATTATGCAGGTCGTAAAAAAGTCTTAGCGAGAACAGCGCGTTTCGTGCCACGCAGGCGTGTGAACCTTGGGGAATCATCAAGCATTTGCCCACCGACAATAGAAAAAGGGATCACCTGCGCAGTTCCATCGATTGTCTGTATGGTACGTTGTGAGGTTCTCTAGAAAAAGCACTAATTGACAAATTCTGACGCCGCTGATATGACGCTCCTCGCCGCTCCTCGGGATCAAAGGTCTATTAGCTTTATGGCGTGTATTTATGTCAACTGCACCGGGACTCGACTACATGAACATTGCAGCCGTAAGCTTGGCACTTCTAGTCTTACGAAGGAATTTTATTCCTCACTGGGGCTTCATTGATGATCGTATCCAAGGTTTTCCATGTGAGCACAGTCTAAATTTGATACGGCCTGTGCTTATCTGTTACAACAAATTCAGTCTTCGGCGCACCTTCTTTTCGTAACTTAAAGATTAAGGCTTTGGATATACTGGATTATAAGCCGAAAACGATGTAAGAAGAACCAGAACCTATGTGCTGTATTATATCTCCGTCTGCCTATATACTCGACGGCCGGGATTGACCTCGCTGCTCATCTGACACGAAGAATACGAATCTGCAGACCCTAGCTCGCTCGCACAAATGTTTCTATGACCACCTCCATTCTTGAATAGCCATAAAACGTCCTAGTGCCGCCGTCCGAATACTTCTGTTCTATAACTGGACTCAATGAGCCGCCTTCATTCCGAGGCCTTTCGCTCCTATTCAACCTCGTAGTCTTTGGCATAAGAAAGAAGGGACGGGAGCTTTCCAGGTGGTTCGTGAGTTTTATGAACCCGGCGAAGGTCTCCGGAGCCCTCTTCTTACTGAGTATGTGAGGTCTGCGATATCAACTTTTTTCTGCGTTTGAAAACTGTCTAATAAATGTTAATTAACTTTATTTCGTATTCATGATCAGTCTCGAGCAACTTTCACCTCTATGAAGTGCTTCAATGGCCGACGAGACTTTGTCCTCCGGGGTAATATATCTCCAGGTTTTCTTTGCCTCGGTGATGTCATATAAATGTACGGATGCAGAGTATGTAAACGTCTCCATAAATCTGTCTCGGAAGCCTTTAGTAGGTCTCATGCTAAGGACTAACTTCTAGCTAATGAAGACATCTATGAGACTCTTAGATACCCTCGACAGCCTCGACTGAAGCGCGCGGTGGCTGAAAATAATACAGTTAAGCTCGGCCGGCGGCTGCCTTCGCAAAAGTGAGTATTCTGAATGTCCATCCGAACTGCTGAATAAGCTCAAAAAGAGTGTTGTCTTTTTGCGCCAGCCGTAACCTGCCAGACAGCAGTGCTTGTCGCGCGGCCGCACTGCCCAGATGTGTCCGTACAAGTATAAATAAAACGATGCTCTTGAATGCCCCATGGTGTACCGCATTGAAGACGCCGGACGCAGTAGTTTGTGATGCGGGCGTGAATTCAGACCTGAACATATTTGAGCCCTGATGACCATGTCTTCCGGCGCCTTCTGTCGTTGTTCTGAATTATTTCGTCGCCCTCCTCAACTTCATCCCAATGTTCTGATCAGGCTGGCACAATATCCTTCTCCAAAATCATCTATCTCAGATCTGGAATGAGACTAATACTTCACTTATATGACTCCGAAGTTGGCCGACCTCACTTGGCCTTTAACAAGTATTAATTAGGACAAATCTCATTATAGCGACTCATTTTGAGGTTCACTTTGGTTGGGAGTAATAGCTCAGTGGTAGAGCGTGGGATTGCAGATCCTAAGGCCGGGTGTTCGACCCACTCTTGCTCCTTGTTGAAAATGTCGACCTTTTTAAGGGGTCTTTGTTTTTAATACCTAAGCATTCATTCCTAATTAATACGAACATATACTATACACCTCCTTTAGACACCTGATTCACCTCTTGACGCGCCATATCTAACAGCGTCACACGTATCTAAAGGACTTTGCGGACGCAACGGAAGCCTTGTTCTCAAAAATTTATATTAAATTGACACTGTGAACAACATGTCTCACGAATTTCATAGAATGCTCCTGGCATAACTGTCACTCATTGTATAATTCAGCCTTAACAAAATTCAGCCATATGTGTTAGACGAGGGCAATAATCGATTGGGTGTGTACATGCTCTGATCATATTTTTCTTATTGACTTATGTAAACAATTTGTGACTGCCACGACATCGCTTCCTTTCCGGGCGTAACTTGCGTCTCGATCACCGTATACGCGTTTGTGCTTTCTGCGCCGCTGTATTCCATGATGGTTCGCTCTTTCCTCCTGCTGCCCATCCTCGCTGCCGTTGCTAGCGCAGCGCAGCTCGCAGTCCATTCCGCTCGCCTCTCCATCTCGTCCTCAGACGGCTCCCAGCTACACTCAGACACGTACGTGTCATCTTGAGTCTCGCATCATTGGACCATGCTTACGCTCGGTCTACACATAGACTCAATGTCGGAGGCAAACCACCAGCGACGCCCTTGACTCTTGGGCCGAGAGACTCGCTCAAATTGACTTTTGCCATCACCGAAAAGGCGAAGGACGGCAAGGGCGTGCAGCCGCATCAAACGTTCCTCCGCTTCTATGACGAGGAGACGGGCGAGGAGGGCATCCAGCCCGTGCGCGTGAGCTCAGGCGGGAAGGCGAAGTACGAGCTCGTACGTTTCAGCTTGACGAACGTGTTCGCGTCTTTTGCAAAACTGATCATTTACATTCCACTACGTTATGCGGATTTTCAGAATATGTTGCGCCCGCCGATCACCCTCCCTCCGACGGGCACTGCGCCCCTGCGCGTGTCATTAATCCTGGGGTCGTTCGTGCACGACCCGCTCCAAGTGTACCTCTTCGACCTCGTGCTCCCCGCGTCGGCGCCCGCGCCGCAGCACCAGGACGAGCCGGCCTTCCACGTGCGCCCCGAGATCGTGCACACCTTCCGCCCGGACCCCAAGTCCCCGCCGCAGTTCATCAGTGCTGTCTTCGTGGCTGTCGTCCTCTCCCCCTGGCTCGTGCTTCTCCCTCTGGTAAGCCATCCGCTCTCATACTCCTTTGACAGTTCTATATTATTGTGTGTTTCTAATTACTCTCTTTTCTTGTTCCTTCCCCCCCTATTCTCTCATGACACAGCTATCGCAAGTGCCGCACAAGGTGCCGCACCTCTTCTCGCCCCAGATTCTGACCTTCATCTCGCTCCTTGGGGCGTTCGAGGGACTTTTACTGTGGTACTGGGTCGCCCTCCGCCTGGGACAGGTCCTGGCGTACGGCGCGGTCCTCGGACTATTGACCGTCTTTTCTGGAAACCGTGCACTCAACGTGCTGGCAAAGTGGAGAGTGGAGGGCACAGGAAAATAAACGGACAGGAGAATCCACGTTTTTTATTTATATCTTGTTCGTTACTCCGGTAATCGCTGCCCTGGCAGCTGGCCTCGGTTGTAATACAAAAAAGAAATTGCATCTCGCTTTCGAATCAAACTCGATGTCTTCGATGTTGTGCGCGTCGCAAAAAGTGCGAAGACCTAAAAGGCGACAAAATATGATCTTATTATATACACGGAAAAAAGGGGATAAGTATCGGAAGGAGCAAGAGTGGGTCGAACACCCGGCCTTAGGATCTGCAATCCCACGCTCTACCACTGAGCTATTACTCCCAACCACATTGTTTTGCCTAGTAGTCCACCACGTAGGCAAAAGCATATTGTGCGAGCCCGGCATCACCCGGAAACACCAAGCACAAATAAATCTGGACCCGCATGGACTCCAGCTGACCACAATAAAGTGTTGAGGCAGTGTAGCAGGTATTCTGTGGTATAATACGGTAGTTTCGCTATCCGTGTCAGGCCCGTGTTGAAGTTCGACCGCAAAAGCCACAATGGGACGAAAATCGCGGAGAACAACAATCAATACCTGACTTGGTATATTCCATGAAAGATATGTGTCTGCCATGCTTGCAAAGAATTTCGTATAGTACGGGAACAATTACTGATCGCCGATGCAATTACGAATTACGAGGGGAAAACATGTAGTAGGTCGTACACGACTACGGCCTGTCTTGGAGCTGCTTTTCATGGAGGAACACGGCGTAAACTCGCACGTGTAATTTGTGAGCACGCGCTCAAAACCCAGGCGAGGCGAGGACTTTAAGATAAAGCTGTGCGTGAGTGGGTATGCGCGGCAATGCACAACATGCAAATGCTCTATGCAATATGGAGATGGCAGCGCATTCTAAACAGGTCAAGGAGACGAGCGTCAAGTGGTCCCTTTTTAAATGCGCAGTATAAAGTTATGCAGTCATATTTAGTCGTGCATAGAGGTATCGTCAATCTTGCAGGCTCAATCAAGAAGGCTGTGGCAATCATTACAGCTGTGTTAATAAAGATTCTCGATCAATAACCAGTATACCGTGAGAAAAGCTTCCGTCAGGATTCCATAATGTCGATGCGGTAGAAAATAGGCCGAAAAAAGGCCCAGAATTGCTGCGCTTACGACGAAGGTCGTCGATAATTCGATATGTTTGAGGGTGGACGGTGATGAAATGGCAGCGGAGGAAATGAGCGGCCGCCGTTGCCGCCGCTTGCCACCGCTTGCCACCCGTCGTCGTTAGCGAGGGGATCAGCGAGGATCGGTTGTTCGTCCGCTTTCGGAAACGTGACGCGCGGTTTAAACTCACCGAGTACTCCTATCCTTCACATTATTTTCTCTATTTTCTCCTCCTTTTCTTTTCTTGTTTCGTCGACGATTTCATTGTCTGTCGATTTCGTCTGAATTTACAGTCATCGATAATATTCTGACGTGCATAACTCAATTGCTTACAAGTGCAAGCGGACAAGGCCTCCTACTCCACGCCACGAGTGAAAGTTCGGCTAGTATACGGCGGCAGTGCTCGACGCACACGCTATCCTGTCACTTCTTTTCCTTTCGTCCACCACCATCGTCGTCTCTTGATGATGTTGTCTCCGACGGTGCCAAGTCGCCGATTCTCGCCGATGTACGCGCTCGCGACATCGGGCGCTGTCGCGGCGTGGATGCCGCTCGTCTCCGCTTTCTCGTTCAACATCAACTCGCCGCCCCAGCAATGCTCCAACCTCTCAATATCTATCACGGGCAGCGGCGGAACTCCTCCGTACCGTGCCCTCATTTTGCCCTCCGGAAACTCTCCACTTCCAAACGAAATCGAGGCCCGAACTATCGTCGACCAGCCCTTCGATGGGGACTCGACCTCCGTGTCCTTCAAACTGAAGTATCCGGCGCTTTCCCAGTTCATCATTGTGGTGAGGAGACCGCATTTCTATCAGTCTTTTTCTTTCGTCTTGCTAAATATCCAACACGATCGCAGGTGAGCGATAGCAAAACTTTTGGTAGTGGTGGAACGAGTGGGGCTGCGATCGTCACCAATTCTTCCGATGCTACCTGCTTCGACCCGAAAACAAACGTGCAGCCGAACTTTTTCTACAACCTCGAACCCGCAAATCAAATTGTTCAATGCACCTCGACGCGCATCTGGTGGGATCCGAGCCTTGTGAAGGGGAACCCGACCATCTACGGCGTCATCCCGGGCGGCGAATCGTTTAATATCCCTTACAGCTCCACGACGACCGTTGCGAACCAGGGTGTCGGTTTCAACTGGACACCAAAACTGCGTACTGGAACGACAGTATTTTTGGGTGCGGGAGACGACAGGGGGCTTGGTTCGGGGGGAAGCGTGTCGTACATCGTCTCAGCGGGCACAAATCCAAGCACCGGGTGTTTAGACAACAGTTCTCCATCGTCGACGGCAGGGAGTCCTGCGGGTGGCTCATACCCCACGAGCACGGAGGAGGCCGAGAGCAGCAAGAACGGGGGCGGCAGCAATTCAAATGCAGGGCCGATTGCTGGCGGGGTCGTCGCCGGCGTCGCCGTGATCTGCGCGTTTATCCTCGTGTTGATCTTCTTCCGGCGGCGCAAGCGCTTCCACAACCAGCACTCGAAGGAGCGCACGGACCTGTTCACGGACAACGAGTGGCCCGACTCCGCGCGCGAGGGCGAGATCGCGCACCTCGCGGCGCCCGAGCCGTACATCGTGCCCACGGAGCCCGCGCACTCCGAGGTGGGCAGCACCGTCCCGGGCTCGCACTACGGGTACGGCGTGGGCAACGGCGCGGGTGGGCTGCGGCCCTCGACGGAGCGCCGCATGTCGACAGTCAGCGCGAGCACGGACGGAGACTTGCTCCGCCCCAACACGCCGGGGACATCGACGTCGGGCGCTGGCACGAGCGCGTGGGGCGGGATGTCGAACGCGAGCCGGAAAACGCCGCAGGGGCCGACGCTGCGCCCGGTAAATATCATCCAGCATGAGGACGCGGGCGCTCCGGACGAGCCAGAGGGTGAGGAGACGGTCGAGCTCCCGCCGGCGTACACGAACCTCCGGAGAGAAGAAAGATGAGCTCTCGAGGCCAAGGGTATGCTGTCTATGCCAGACCTATTCTTCATTTCCTCCCACCTTTTCGGACTCAACCCTATTGAAGGGTTTTATTTTCGTTTATGTGGCTCTGCCATGGACAATTGGACTTACCATCATCTGGAGTAGATTATGCATGGTCTTTTCATCCCAATCGCCCTTCAAACCCTTGTTTTAATATATACCCTCGATCCCCCCTTAACCCTCTCTTCTCTCCCCCCTCGGGCTGTTCTCCTTCTGATCTACAACCTGTTCTATTCGAAGTTCATTGTGCTCTCTTGTTCTGCTCACGATCCCCATATCCAGTCGCTCTCTGCTATAGAATTTTTGCCCTCAGCCTCTTTCTGGTCCCATCTTACCCTTTAGCTTATCTTCTCTGCAGCCTTATTCCCCTTTCCGGGCCCATTCGCTGTATCATTGTTTTGTTCCTGCATCTCTCATCTTGCACTTTCTTTGCCATTTCTTTCTTGCTATTTATGATTATGGTAGCGGCGCGACCAATGGTTTTTCTACGTGTCCCTATTCAAAACCCCTTCGTCTTTCGCTTCCTGCACCAAAGCCTACCTTATCTTACACTCCAATCTGGTTCAAATTCACCATCCTTTCTTGTAGCTGGTCGCTATAGCTAGCTGGGGGCCGGCGCATGTACCATTAACTTTTAGTTCTCGCAATCAAGAGAAAGAAATGGATTCCAAGAAGAAAATGCGCGACTACGTTGACCAAACGCACTTTAACGCGCTGCGGCCCAGTCGCGACTCTTAGCACGCCCGTTGGTATCGCGAGGTTCTTGTCTTGCACTTCAATGAGTCGGTCAAGCCGTTGCACGCAGATGGTATTGACAATGTGTGCGCGGTGTTATGGCTGGACAACGCCATACTTTGGAAACGGCCGAATCAAAACGTCCAACGCCCTATCTATACGCTCAGGCGTCCGTGAACTGATGACGGAGGTCTTCCTTCATTATCATCCAACCGGGTTCCCACAGCATTTCAACAGGAGACCGTCTTCCTTTCCTGCCAACCTCCCTCCTCATCTTAACGGGGCTCCCATCCCCTCAGGCTCGTTTGTCGCGACTGGCGCCAGTCTGCGCTCGCGACCCCGCTGTTATAGATTGACTCCCCCCCCTCCCCCCTCGACGCTTGCGAACCCCGTACTCAAGATGACGATAACGACGGCTAAGCTATTTCGTTGCTTATCCGGACAGATCCGTGCTATGCCCCGTGTCCCTGAGCATCGCATGTCGGTGGAGTTCCACAGAAAGGCAGTCTAACCTCATATAAGCACTCCCTCTTTGCGAAGTTGAGTGTTAGAAATCAAGCATGCTGATCTGTATGGGGCCGACTGTATGACGGTGCACAAGTATCAATTCTCCAGAACAGAAAAGCATGACCGACCAATGGCACGCTAAATGCCAGCGGGTTCGATTCTCGTCTTGTAGAGCTTGAAATGGATACGAAAAAACCAGAAGAGGCCTGCGGCTCGTTGGAAGAAAAAATATATATTATCATATATAGATCCTAGAACTAACATTTGATCAATATCATCCGTCGCAGCGCACTATAAAAAGATCGACGTACTTTACTTCGACTTCATTCTATCCAATAGCACCTTAGCGCATACTTTCAACGACTCGGCTTCCGCCGGTGTCGCCAGTCCACCGCCCGCCCACCGTACGCGCAGTTGCTGGTCCAGCAGGTACACAAACCCGATGTGCTTGTTGTTCATACCCAACGGCTCGCGTACATACTCCATGTTCTGCTTCGATAGGAGGTACGTCGGGTGCAGCGCCTCGGGGATGCTCCGCCGCAGGGACGAGGTATAGAGCGACACGAGAAAGGCCTTCGCGAAGTTCTCTTGCAGGTTGATTTGGACGTAGCGGTAATTCGGATTCGAGAGGTATTCCTTGTTCGTTTTGCGCACGAAGCTGTCGACGTGTTCCTGCGTCGGGAGGGTTTTGAGGATTAGAGGGAAATAAGTGAAAAGCACGGCCCACTTTACCTCCGAGATCGCGTGTCGGTGGAGTTCCACAGAAAGGCAGTCTAACCTCATATATGCACTCCCTCTTTGCGAAGTTGAGTGTTAGAAATCAAGCATGCTGATCTGTATGGGGCCGACTGTATGACGGTGCACAAGTATCATTTCTCCAGAAAAGAAAAGCATGACCGACCAATGGCACGTTAAATGGCAACCGGTTCAATTCTCGTTTTGTAGAGC